AGGCTAAAAATTGTTAATTTGAGCCTTCCCAGAAGCTGTTATAAATAGGAACTGTAAGATAAGAAGAGGTTCAATGAAAAATAATGTGAAATACCTCAAACCTGTCCTTTTAAATGCTCAGCTGTCTCTCAGACAGACCTTATTGATTCATGTTTTAATTCTGCAGCAAAGGGGTGCTCCAAGTCTAGGCTCAAGGGATCACACATCACTTGATAGCAATACAACATCTACATGTCACTTATGCTAATGTGCTTCTCCCTGTCTCTGAGGAATGAGGCAATGTTCCATACAGATGCTGCTGCAAACATTACCTCACAAATAAGACTGGAAAAGAGCCAGATGGGATGCAGAGGAAAAAGAACCGTACAGGTCCTCTTGTCTACTGCAAGGTCACCAAAACCAGTGAGATTGCAAGATTCACTTACCCAGTGCTGTTCAAGTAGCTCTGACCAGTGCTGCAATCCTTGGACAGGGAGGACGGGCTGAACCAGAAGGCTGGGACACACTGGTTGTTGCTGTGCCTCTCATACCCATAGTCACTACAGAGACAAGCCATGAGTGCATCACTGTACCCATTCACTAGATTTATCTCAGAGTTTTACATGATGTTTTCGTTCCCCAAAGCATGTGTGTGTTGATGGCTCTCTGCTGGACGGCACGGCATCGTGGATTGGGCTCATCCAGAGACAAAGTGCTTGATTAGTTTGAGAGGCAGGAACAGAGTTCATAGAAGGTATGTGATACCCGACAACACCAGAACTACCAACCTTGCAGAGGACTGGAGGACATGTGTTTCATCTCGTCACAAAACATGGGCAGAGGTTCAGAAAGAATATGGTATTGCTAATTTATTTTCCTACTTATCTCTAATAATTTAATTTGTTGGATTCTTCTGGTTCACTTGCTTTTTGGAGTCTTTGCTTTCAGAACAAACCAGACTAATTCCAAGATCTAATGTCACTTTTTCCCAACAAAGCAGTTATGAATATAGAACACTAGGAGCGCTTCCTGAAAACCTAGCCAAGGGATGTATATTTACATATGTTAATGGCCTTCCCGCTCTTTGACTGAGCTATGACTGGCCCAAAAGAAAAATATAGCTGATGTTTTTCCAACACTAGACTAATGCAACACATCCAACTTGGTAGTCTAAGGATTACACTGTATTGTGTCACATGGGGAAGATAATCTAGGGTATTGATGCTTCCTTGGACCACCAAAGAGTGGAAGCGTACACAACCACATCCAAGACTTCTTTTTACATCTGCCTTTGCATGCCAATACAATGATGAAGTAATAGGATTAATCTAAACCTTTCCATAAGTTTTAATAGGCTCCGGATCAGGTTTCTATGTGTAGCCTTTATTGGCAGGCTGGATTCAAGGGGCAAATAAAAAGAGAATTTGGATTTTTGCCTGAAGCAGGTTAACAAATGCCAACAAACTAAAACACTGTGGGAACACCGACACTACAGAAGTCACTGCCTTGAAAACTCTCTGTGCCCTTTAGGACACTGAGTTTTATCCTTCCCCTGTTCAGAGTCTGAATTGCCAACAGAAAGTCTCTAGGAAGAGCTTTGGTGAGACAAAATCATGCTATGTCCCCAGAGACCCAGACTGCTACTGTTCCTATTTTGGACAGCAAAAATTCTGCAAGCTACTTTAAAAGGTCTGGAGATTCCCTAATGCTCTTTCTCTCAACATTCAATTTAATCATTCTCAGTGGGTCCGACCTGCACAGTCAAAAATGCCTCGCAGTGACTTGGTAATTAAAAATATTCAGGAGGAGCGGTACTTTGCCCCAAAGAAGAAAAGAGCTGCATAAATATTTAATAAAATTAAAGACAACATTGCTGTATGCCCTCAAGGTTCTGTGCTTGTTCATTAACTTCTGGTAAATGTATATTAAAACCTCACATGCTGCCCACCTTCCTTCTTACAAGCCCCAGGGTTTGCATAAGTTAAGGAAATAATCAAGTCCAGCTGCTGCGCTGTCTTTCTCTGGAAAGCTATCTTGACAGAGTAAATAAAGAAGAACGAGGAGGGAAAAGAAAGATCAGCAAGCATTTTAATAACACTTCTGAGTTCCTTCTGCCATTCCCTCTGCCAGAAAAAGGCCAGAGTTTGCTCTTGGAAATGACTGCGATGGTTGGCAAGAGTCACTCCTGATCTTGACTCATGAGGGTTTCTTGAACTGGGGCCCTGGATCATGATTTACATCTCTGAAATTCAGATCAGCCTTATATCTAACAGCAGGAAACAGATAGCACTGCAACACAAGGCTGACAGGGGCAAGGGCGCTGTGACCAGATGGGAGTGAGCACATGCCTCACAGCTTGTGCTGTCGGGCTCCTGCAGTCACCTGTCTTGTCTGCACAGCTCTTGAAGGCAGGTGTCATCACAGCTAGGAGCATGGGGTGCTCTGTGACCAGAACTGCCCTCCAAACACATTTAACGGGGAAGCAGGGGGCCTGTCTGTTGGGACCTGCTCATCAGTGCACTCACACAAGCCCAGCTGCTGACCCTCTTCCTTTCCTTGATGCTCCACAGGACCTGCTCTGTTCACATAAAACAGACAGGCCAGTCACTGCCTCCAAGAACAACTGGCAATTGTGAACCCAGACAGAAGAGGCTAAGTGGACATCTTTCCCTTCCAAAAGCATGAAGTGTAAGAGTAGGAGCTGTCCTTCCAACTGTAGATACCTATAGTGGAGATGTATCTCTGTGAGCTCCCTGCCTAGAACCACCTTCTAGTCAGCAGAGAGAAAGGGCACTTCTCAGCACCTCCTCTTCTCATATGGACATCCAAAAGAAGGCAGATGAATCATATTCTAGAATAACCTCTATCTTGCCACTGACTAACTCTATCCTCTGACTTTAGAAGTCCCAAGTCAGAGCAGATGAGTCCACTCTTCCTCTCCAAAAATCACGTTTAAGATAATGAAACTTGTTGCCCCGTTTCCAGCACCGCTAGTATTTTCAACAAACAGATTGCCCCATACCTCCTTCCAGTCAGTCCTGCAGGCTAGCATCAAAACTCACCCTTAAACTGAAGCTGGTTCTTCTGATTCTCCATCACCAGCTATAACAATTTTTGCAATTGGAAACCAGTTAACAATTCTGTTGGCAGTGCAGAGTCTGAAACAAAAGCCAGCCTGCTGTCCTCTAACTGCATTTCCTCTGTAGGACTGACAAGGTTAAGAGCAATATTCTCTCATGTTAGTGGGAAAGTTAAGCAAAAATAATACTGAATGTATGCAACGAACACATCAATTTATTGAAAAGGTACATTCTGACGCAGACCCTTTTCAAGGCAGAACGGCACTTAAGGCCAATTTAGCTACTGCAGTTTTCTACTTAAAGCTTAGAAAAGACAAGCTTCACTGTGAAAGCAGAAAGCTGGTGAGGCACAAAGCCACAAAAAAAAAAAAAAAAAAAAAAAAAAAAAGAAAGAGCAAATTCATAAGCATCTCTGGAGATCAGTGCTTGGTTCAGCTCAGAGGCGTACGCCAATGCCAAGGCCAGATAGTGCAGGGCAAGATGGTTTGTTCATCTTGCAAGTTCCCATGATGAGAATAAAGGGGAAAGATCTCCTGAGTAAAGCTAAGGAGTCTCAGATGTAATTCTGGCATTAGGAACAAATTAAACATCCATACAGATAAGATGAAAATCTCTGCTCCATATCCCTAAACCTCTCTCAGAGCCAAACTACTTCGATATTCAAGGAAACACTTTTTGGTTTTTTTATCCTTTTTTGCCACATTTCAGTGTGTCCATGTTGCAAAAAGAACTGTGAGTCTTAGCTGGCCTAAGTCCAAACAACTGCAGATCTCATGCTTCACACTTCTTCAGGAAGGATTCAAAGGTAAGTGAAGTTTTCAGGAATCACACCAATATTGAATCAGACACTGATCCTGATAACCTACTATAAAAATGAAAATGTTTTCTCAGCTGATCTGCTTTCAGGGTATTTTGAACTCCATTTAAATGACATTCTGATCATTTAAGCTCCAGCATCACAGCTATTAACAGTCTTAAATCTCTAAAATCTTGCCTATCACAGGTTCCCTGTAGGAATTCCTTGTGCAGAGATCCTAACTGCATTCTCCCATTTTCTATCCCTAATTGTCAAGTAATATCAAGCTGTGGTTCATTTTCTTCCTGTTTTATTTTTAAGCTACTTTCAAAGTGACATTAAAGCAGTTTGGAAATTATGGCCCCACTAAGTTAGAAGCACCAATATTTATGTAACACAAGTAGCTACATCTTACAAGGGTGGGCTGTACAGTCATGTCATGGTAACCTTTTCAGAAATTTCTCAGTAAAACATTGTTAAAAAACCACCAAATTGTTCCCAGGAATCCAAAGAAATAATGCTAAAAGTATGCATGTTTTGCTACTTTGCCCCCTACGTATTCAATGAGCTTGGAAGTAAGGACAGAGAAATTTCCCCTTTCTCCTGTAGCAGACATGCTTTGGACCAGAGAAGAGTGCTGGCTGTAGCTCTTCTAGAATGGACAAAAAAATGTCAATCAGTACTTGAGATCTTCTGCTTTTGAATTCCAGGCCATGGAGATTAACAGATCTCTCTTGCAGGTGAAGGGGACACATCCCTCACACAACAGGTGTGGGGATCACATCTATGCTGTATGGTACAACCACAGCCATGAAGCTCCATGTTTCTCTGCAAGGTTTTCTATGTGGGCACTAGCTCAGCCACTGTCAACGCTAAAAGAGTAGTCCCCGCAAAAGTCCCCAGAGCCACATACTCACCACTCAAAGTCCCCTTGACCGCAGACACACGGTTCAGACACCACAGTTTGGGAGTAGTCCCAGCCTAGGGAACACTGGGTTCCAGGCTTGCGTTTTTTATAGATCTTCCTCTCTCCCATGACACAAGGCTCCCCCTTCAGCAGTCAAGGAACAAGAGGAGAAAGAAAAACAGAGAGTGGAAGTTGCAGCTGGGTCTTAAATGGAGCATTTCATCAAAAGATACAAAAGGCAACAAAAGCAAGCAATTACCACTGGAAGAGCTAAGAGCCTAGCTCCCTTTTGTGGCTTTGTAAACTCAAAAGCCACCCTGGGAGGACCCATGAGGGCAGTGTGCTCAGCGTTGAGTTGGTATGCTAAGGACAATGTGCCCAAAATGCCTGGGTGCACAAGCCATCGCATTTACTTTGCGCCATATTTCAGAAGGCATCCACCAACATATCTAGTCATGCAAATTATCCTGAAAAGACAATGTGGATGTACTCCAGGGTTTCTTCCATATGTTAGACGAAATCCAGTACATGAAGAAGTGCTCAAGCCTGAAACCCAGGGCAGGGACAAAATCTAGGTGTGGAACCCAGGACTCCTGGCTTCCCTCCTTTTTCCTTGATGGATCTGGCTTTGTTATAGACCTCAAATAATTTTGATGGTATGTTATACTGGGCTTCTCGAACACAAAGGTTTCCAAGAGCACTATTGGGAGTAGCTAATCTAAAAGAAATATTTTACATTTAGGTGAGTTGCTATAAACAGAGTTTTCTCTGATGTAGAAATAATTTGTCTACAGAGAAGTAAGAAAATAAAAAAGACAACATCTAATGGAAATCCTCTTTCCCATTAGCAGTGATCCCCAAGATGGCTGCCTGGTTAAACACATCTTCCTTTTCTTTCATTTAAATTATTTTCCGTTATTCAATTCTATGACTTCAGTTATCCAATACATCCTTGCCAAATTAATGCTAATTCCTAATTCATGGATTTAATTCAGGAATATCACAGTGCCAATAGTTCTGACTCTAGTTATGTTGCCCTGCAGGGAGTGGGACATCATACTGGTGGCCAGTAAGACATAAGTAATCTTCAGAATGTATTGAGCTCTGTCCATTCTAGTGGCTTCAGGACCTAAATATAGCCAGCATGAAAACAAGCCAGAGTGTATGAAAAGCAAAGCATGTATCCTTGAATAGAATGAAATAATTTGGTCTTCTCCGGTGCCTTTTATTCAAGGGCTCCCCAGAGTTTTACAGACACCTACAGAACCTGCCGGATGAATAAATGTTTTTATTTTAATTTTTGAGTAGGAAAAATAGAGGCAAAGTGCAAGAAAATTATTTTCATGAGTCACTGACAGAGCTACAAAGAGTTCAATGTCTCCTACAATTCAATCACAAGGTGAAGTTTTACATTGCCCTGAGCACTGAGGGCAAAAAGATCCATCTGGTGCAATGGAATATTTTCATACAAAGAGAAGTTAATAATCTCCCTAACTTGCCTGGAGAAGACTGGCCCCATGTTTATTTACGCATATGTTGAAGTAAAGCACCACCAGGTTAGAATAGTGACTTGATGAATGCAAAAAATACATATGCTCTGCTGAAAAGTACAAGTACACCCCTACCTGGCAATACAGAATTTGGGAAAATGAACCCCCATCATCCCTTCCCCACACAGTGGGAATACCTGATTGTGCAGATGCCAGGTTTGGTAATCATCTTTGTTACATCTTCGGCTGAAGATAGACTTGTAGTCCACCTTGACCAGCTGCCATTCAGATCGGAGACTGAAGTGTCCAAAAACTCTGAGCATGGGAGAGAAAAACAGAAAGAACAAGAGTGGGCCAGAGATATGCTTCCATTAAGCAAACTTTCTCATGAATCTCAGCTGAGGAAACCAATACACAGTCTTGGAGCTTGATGCCAGAAAATGTTATCCAGTCATGAAAAATATTCTCCTGTGCCCAAAACATCCTAGGATTATTTAGCCATTCCCTGACCTCTTGAACAGCCTGTGTTGGAAGGTCTTCTGTGTTTCTAGTACTTAGCACAGTGAGTCCCAAGTCTAATACAGACAGCTAGGTATCACTCAAGAACAATAAACAACCAAACTAGAAAGTAATGTCTAATGTCAACGGAGATATTCTGTTGAATATATGGGTTTGGTGGTCTCAAAATCAAGCCTTTCTTAGCTGACTCAGTTTCTTTACTGCTGAACTTTTGTGTTGCAGAAACTTAATTAATTGTAGAACACCTAAAATAACATATTTGGGATATGGACTGTAAGCAAGTGACCTGCAAAGCCGGCAGCATCCCTTCCACCTGGTGAATGCTGACTGCAGCTAGTAGGAGAGGAATTATACCATTCACCACTGTAAGGTTATCAGTAGAGTTTTTTCTTAATCCTTTTGAGTAGGTCACTCATCAGCAGCAGTCACTGATCACACTCCACAGTTCGTCTAGCTAAGTAATAAGTTGATTTTCAGGATGAAAATTACACATTTTCCCACACAACTCCCAGCAACACAAAGCTCATAAGGAGTGAAGCAGTATATTGGAGCTGTTGTAACTGAAGGGTCAGAGCTCAAAAAATAGTGGAAGGACTCAGACTGTAATTTAAAACCAAGGCACAGATCTGTTACAAACAGTGTGATGAAAGAGATCATATAAAATTGAACAGCACCAAAGGCTTCTGCACAAGCTTGGACCAGAACGTTGGCAGCAGAGCTGGTTGTTGAACACGGGTCTCTCTAAATGCCATTGCAACTATACAGCCTACCTTCACGTACAGGGAAAGCTATGTGCTTGCTTAAGTATCTGTAAGGGAAGGACCAAAGCAACAATGAGCACTGATGGTATACATCACCAAAGAGCAATCACCACAAACACTAAGGAAGGCTACATGATGGAAGCTCATACCTTCACCAAAGAAAGCAAAATCAATGCAAAAACATGGTTTTATTAATAAATAATACCAGGTACCCAGACAAAAGACTCCATCCATGCAGAAACATTGCATGAGTGCTGCAGGGTGCTCAGTTTTCAAAGTAACAGTTTTCTACTCCCTTGGCCAGCTGTGATTTTCTCAGCAAAGAGCAGCTTTTCAATCAACTGCAGCTGAATTTCCAAAGAGGTGAGTAATAGGAGGAAATTAGGATGGGTGACCAGACTTTAAAAGCTATGAACAAAACTACAGCTTCTCATTGACAGGGGGAACATCTCAGTACACATAAAGAACAAAAACAGACAACAATCAAGTTGTTTGTCATTATAACATGACAAATTCTTGGTTATATCAAATCACGGGTATCAGGGAGAGAAAGCAGGGTGGGGGAGATCTGAGAGACTGGAGTTGTGGGTTTGCTGTGGACACCTTTCTGTATCCAAGTTCTGCCCCACAGAGGCAAGCTCCAAGAAGCTGACAAGAAGGTGAGAGGCTAAAATACAAATTCTTAGAGTAGTCCTAATTGTGGGGTATTAGCGATAGTAAAAACCAGCGCATTCAGGCAAAGCTACGGAAGAAACTGCCGTTCCTGTTCCTCAACCCAGAAGGCACATCCTGGACCAAGATGACTGCACAGAAACTGTGGCGATATGGGGTGCTAGGGCACTTGTTGGGAGAAGTAGGGAGAAGTGAGGAATGGGAAATAGCAGAGGGGAAGGATGCAGAAGGCCTCTGAAACTGTATTAAGAGAGGATTTCTAACTCCAACTCCCCTCCCTGCTTTCCTTTGGCATGGGGTAAATCCCACCAGCTCTTATGTCGCAAGTGCTTTTAGCACACACTCTTACAGAGTGCGCATCTGATCATGGTACTATTGTGCAGCTGGGCAGCTCCCCCATGAATCTTGTTTTTCCTGGATGTAATGCATGAAGGAAATGTCATTCCCGCAAAACAGCAACTCAGAAGGTAGAAATCATTTAGTCCAGCAGATGTATACCAGTACAAGTTTTGACCTGGGTGTTTATTACACAGAAATCATAGCAAAGGAGAGGAGAACATAATGAAAACACAAAAACGTGCCTGAACCCAGAAGCTAACAGGGCTAGAGAAATCCAACACTTTGACAGCCAATGCATCTCAAAGAAAATGTTGTTCCTCAGACTGACCCATAGCTAACCCTCCAGGCAAGAGAGCAAAAGGCTTCTTTGTGTTTTACAAAAATTGCTAGAACCACTTGCTTTTAAAATCTATTAAAATAAGCTAAAAAAAAACCTCTGCCATTGAAATTCTTCCATGATAATGATAATTAATGGGAAAACAAAGTTTCCTAAGTGGAAGGCAATACATTAGCATTCCAAAAGCACAGAGCATTAGCTACTCTTTTAATTAAATTATTTCAAAGAAGATCTTTGTATATAATTGCTATAATTTAGATAGAAACAATACTACACTAAATGTAATTAGAGGAGTGTGAACAGAGAGGGATGTTTTTCCTCTGCGCTACGGAGATGGTTCTGGGTCACCTGATTCCTAAAGTAGGAACTTTTCCCAACCCTTGCTAATAAAGAGCTTCTTAAGCCTGATCCAGCATTGTGGGGCAACCTTCAGAGAGAAGATCTGCTCATATGCAGAGAAGTTAGCAAGCAGCTGCTCACCAACAACAAAAACAAATTTAACTCAGACACCTACAGCACTTTTTGATTGACCAGTCAACATGATGAAAGTCACATTACATTTCAAGTTCACTCTGTTGTGCATTTGAAACTTCTATGAGAGTAAGCAAACATAAGTAATGGAAAAGACTGCTTGCTATGTTATCTGTGAGGCTCCACTGGACTCTCAAACAGCTTTCCTTGGGAAGTGATGAAAACCCTCATCTTCTGTGGAATTAAAAATCAGTTAAACAAAGCACCACAGGGAACAAACCATGACTGAGCAAAATGAGGTACTGCAGCTGAACCCTGCTTTCATCAGTTTTGTGAACTACATCACTGGACATTTTTCTGTACTAAGTTGCATGCCCATAACCTCTCCCCACCATATCTGTTTTGGGGTGTCCAGGCCCAACAGAAAGGGTTGGACATACAGAAAAGAGCTGCAACATCTTAAAACTGCTGGTGTTTGGCTATCAATAAGTGTTTAGCATTAACTGCTCCAGTACATACATCTGGATTTCTGTACCCAGTGTGGCTGGACAAATCAAGTCTCATGGAAAGCCATAGAAAAAGAGATTGGTAGGAGTTTATTTTTCCCTACTCAACTGGTGAGCCCTCACATTGCTTTGAAGATACCATCTCATTTACCTTATTTGATTCCCACGTGCCCTTGCTTCTCATTCATTTTGTCTGCTCACTGAATTACAGAGGTGGAACTCTTTAAGTAAATATAGCTAAACTATCAAGATAATACAGGGGGAAAGAGGACATAAAGTACTATGAATTTTGTCTCAATGACGTTGTCTACCATGGTCTAACTCAAAGCTCTTAATGGCTTGTTGCAAGGAAGAAGATAAAAGAAGAGCACTCGGTTTTCAAGATCCAACTCTGGGAAGCCAACACAAAAAGTATGTTTTGATTTTTTTTTCTGTCTGATCTGGGAGTCTTTGAGAACCAATAACTACAAGAGTTCAGATGGCATTTAGATAGTCAGTTTTCTGATTAAGATCAATTTAACAAAGGTTCTCCAACCTAAGCCATGGAATGGTATTTTACAGGCTTTAGACAGAATAGACTTTGTTCTATCCCTCAAGAGTAAGCAGTTAAAACTCCACATAAAATCTTAGCTAATAGCACAACATCTTCTGGCTCTATGCATAACTCACAGTGAAACCATTGCTAGGAAACCAGAAAATGCTTCCCAATCCCTTCTTTGGAGAAATGAGGCAAGGCTTTTATTGCCATGGATGGATGTCATTAATTTGAAAAAAAAATCATTAGGAACCTGGAAAACAATTCTGAAATGCTTACAGATTCATGATGGAGTCATTTTGGAAAAGGTCATTGGTAATGCTGCTATAATTACATCTTTCATTAAATTTTTAAATACACAATACCCTACAAATGTGGTATATACTGACTGGATCACCTTGTACAGAAATTGTTTAAAAGGTCTTTCACATTTATACAGTGTTCTCTTGTCAAATTGCACTGCTTTTGCCTTATCAGTCCTTGCATTGTTGATACGTGTGGTTTTCATGTAATTCAATACTGCTCATTCCTGACAGGTCAACAGAATGAATTGAGGGTCACAAGATAAAAACTCATCCACTGCTGGGCCACAGATTCAATTCCTGGCCCTGCCTATGGTATGATAAATAGATCTTCTCAAATAATAGCTCCTATATCACTCACAGGAAAGGCATCAGCTGTATCCATCTGGATTTATCCCTGCTGGCAGTTTCAGACAAGCTGCCGAAGCATGGAAACGGAAATGTTTTCTCATGCCTAAATCCAGCCCCCTTCTATAACTTCTGAAGTAAACTGGCAGGACATTATATGGAGCAAGCATGCATTAAAGCTGTCTGTACTTGGCTGGTCTGGTCTGGAGATAGATGGAGGACCTTTATCTGCACTAGGCAGCCTAGCACCTTTGCATGTACTGGGAGATAACGGTCAAAGCCTCTAGTAATGCCTCCTGTCCTCAGCTGTGCCCATCAGTGAGATAGATGGCTGAAGATACAAAGGAAGGAAGCAGCTGATAAGGCCATCTTCACTACACAGAACACCAAATGTAGCCTCCTTTCTGAAGCTTTTTTCCTTCACTGGACATCAGCATGGTGAGAGAGACGAAAAGGTACCCCATTTTGCTTCTCACAAAGTATCCTGGGGGTCTCTGAAGTCAAATTTTAACAAGATTAGGCTCT